ATTTGCTAAAAAATCTGTAAACCGCTTAGAGAGGGCTGAAAGCCCTATGAAGCGGTATATAAGTCTAACTGCTATTTCAGCTGACTGCTATCTGCAGTTCGGCGGTTCTAATCTCACCGGCTCAAGGTTGACTCTTCCTTCCATCCTTCCGAGGTGGGTGAAATGAGGACCCGGATTGTTGTTGTTGGGGGCGATATGCTGATTCTGTAAACTGCTTAGAGAGGGCTGAAAGCCCTATGAAGCGGTATATAAGTCTAACTGCTATTTCAGCTGACTGCTATCTGCAGTTTGGCGGGTCAAATCTCACTGGCTCAGTGTTGACTCAGCCTTCCATCCTTCCGAGGGGGGGGAAATGAGGACCCGGATTGTTGTTGTTGGGGGCGATATGCTGACTCTGTAAACTGCTTAGAGAGGGCTGAAAGCCCTATGAAGCGGTATATAAGTCTAATTGCTATTGCTACCTGCTCCTCTGGCCGAGATGCCTTCCGCCTTACCGACTCCTGAAGGATAGGCAGTCCTCGACTTACAACCGTTTCCTTAGTGACCGTTTGAAGTTACGGAAAAGCACTGAAAAATGACTTAGTGGCCGCTTTTCACACTTAGGTCCGTTGCAGCACCCCCTGGTCATGTGATCAAAGTTCAGACGCTTGACATCGACTCATATTTATGACGGTCGCAGTGTCCCTCGGTCACAGGATCCCCCTTTTAAACTTTCTGACAAGCAAAATCAGTGGGGAAGCCAAGTTCCCTTAACAAGGGCAGTGATTCCCTTAACAACTGTGGCAAGAAAGTTTGTAAAATGGGGCAACATTCACTTCACAGCAGCGACATAAACTTTAGGCTCCATTGAGGGTTGTAGGTTGAGGACTACCTGTATTGAACAGTAGACCGTTTGCATTTCAAGGTTGGGGCAAGTTTTTCATAAACTCTCTATTCCTTTCCGGAATAAAATGATCCCTAGAATCATTTGAGCCAAAAATGGCACCCTTAAGAAATCCACAAGCCCTCAAGCTGTTTCCCCGGGCAGCCCCTTTTCGGTGCCCGAGTAGCCAGATGTGTCCCCATTTACGTGCCAGGCGAAGGAGAATCATCTGTAAGGGTGAATAAATCTCCTTTACTTTTATTCAAGCCCTTATGCACAAATCCCGTCAACTGGTATCACAAGTTGGCGCTCGAAAAAGGTCAGTGGGCTTCACGGGCGGAGGGAGGGCTGGGCTTTTGGATCTCTTGTGGCGACACAGCAATTCCAAACCGATGGCCCGTTTCACTCCGCCCGCCATCTCTGCCTCCTCTCCTCCCTCCTGCCCTTGGTGCCCGGCCCTTGGTGCCCGTTGAGCGACTCCATTAGGCGGCCCAGGGTGGCCGATTAACCGCGGGGGCCTCCGTTCTCCTCAGGCTACGGCTCCATCTACTTTGAGGGCGAGGTCAATCTGACCAACCTGAACCTGGATGAGATCGTGCACGTCCGCAGGAAAGAGGTCATCGTCTACCCGGATGATGAATTGAAGCCCCCCATCGGGGAGGGCTTGAACAGGTGATGCCACCGGAGAGGGCGGGGGGGGGGGGGCTCTTCAAATACCCACTTCGTCACATTTACATGCCTGTCTCACCGGCAGGCGGCTCTAGGCGGCTCACGGCAAGATAAAAACAACAACATAAAACACAAAAATGATGTAACGTTAAAATGAACAGATAGTGAATGAAGGAAGCCTCAACTTAACAACGGTTCATTTAGTGACCGTTCAAAGTTACGACAGCACTGGAAAAAGTAATCAATGACTGTTTAACCAATGGCACTTATGACCATTGCAGTATCCCCATGGTCCCATGATCAGAATTCAAACGTGACTCGTATTTATGACGGTTGCAGTGTCCTGGGGTCGTGCAATTCCCTTTTGCGACCTTCCGCCAAGCAGAGTCAGTGGGGAAGCCGGACTCACTTTCAACAACCGTCTTACTCACTCAACAGCGCTTCGCTTAACAACTGTAGCAAGAAAGGTTGTACAGTGGGGCAAAGCTCACTTATGCTTAGCAACATAAATTTTGGGTCCGTTGTCAAAATGTGAAGATTAGCTACACAACGGAGGAGGTGGAGGTCTTCCCTTGATCCACTAACCCCGCTGGAGATGCTCAGATGGGGCCCAAGGATCCCTCTCATTCTCCTCTTTGTCTTGACACCAGCTGGGAAAGGCTATTTTACCCCACTCTTATGTCCTGTTCGGTGGCAGAGGCCTCACTGCTGCGTACACACACACACACACACACACAC